CCCCTGCTTGTGTTCCCTCTCTCGCTGTCTCTCTCTCTCTGTCAAATAAATAAATAAAATCTTAAAAAAAAAGTAATAAAAATAATAAAAATAGTTTAAAAAGGTAGACTTTTAAAAGAACCACTAAATGACTAACTCAGGTTAAAAAATATCATGACTTCAATTTTCTAAAATATTATGTGAGAGAGAATACCATATATACAAAAGTAAAAAGACTTAGTGGCTTCACAACTTGGTGTATTTCTGGGAGGGGAGCATGAAAGCCACTACATTCCTACCGGTTTTCTGATGTAATCAAAAATGAACTTTACTGCAATGGAACTTACTTTTACAGAACTGAGGTCAAACCAATGATGACCTAATCATAACCTTAGTGAGCTTTTTTTCCCTGGGAAGACACTTGTGTAACACTGTATGAAAGTATGAACTACCTATGTTGAGTGATGTCTATGATGTCTATACTAAGTATGCTTAAAAGCCAGAAAGGACTATCATAGTTCCAAGGTGGATAATGGGGATGGTAAGTTTAATTAGATAAATTGGTAGTTCTGTTGCCAGATTTTAAAGGTTGAGAGTTGAACTTTATGTAAACAAAATTTCCCATGAAACAGTCCATAAGTACCCTCCTTCTGAGAGACAAGTCTGCTCCCAAAGGAAGCATAGAGAAGGGTGAAGTTACTGGTAGGACTTTTATGCTCCCCATGCAGAAAGTGTAAAAACTGGCAGAAAAGTCCCGCTTAACAGGAAAAATTCAAGATCTCTTAAGCTTCAACACTGCTGGTGGCATTATAAATTAGAATATTACTTGGCAATGTATATCAAGAGCCACATAAACTCTCAAACCCTTTGGAAGAGTAATTCCACTTCTAGGAATCCATCATAAGGAACCACTACTAGTACTGCTATTAATAAATTAAAGTTCAATCATGTGATAGAATATTACTCAGCTTTTTAAAAGAGATACGCAGAAATAAAAAATGTGTGCTTATGTTAGAGAACAAGTTGAAAAATTTATGAACTATATTAGAACTATATTATGAAAACAAACAAAAATGTACATTAAAAAAGACATTGAAAAAAAGGCACTGATTTGCATGTAACAAAATGCTAATTTAGTACCCAAAGAGATGTCAATTTTTGCAAGAAGTGTATAAAATCATGTGTAGCACATATGCATCTTCTCAAATAACAAACATTAAAAACATAATTACTATGAGACCATAATTTTTTTTATATTAAAAAAATAGGACCATGTGCTAAGACTGAGAACAGGACAACGATGCCCACTCTCACTGCTCTTCAATACAGTACTAAAGGCCCTAGACATTGCAATGAGCAAGAAAAAGAAATAAAGAGCATTAAAATTAAAAAAGAAGTAAAGCTTTCATCTATTTGCTGATAACTGTTTACACAGGAAAACTTAAAGAATCTACAAACACCTACTAGAACTAGTCAGTGAATTAGCAAGGCTGACGGACACAAGGTTACTATGAAAAAATCAATTGTATTTTTACATATTAGCAATAAATTTAAAAAATTCCATTTATAATAATGTTGAAAAATATAAAATACACTTAATAAGAGACATGCAAGCCCTGTACATGGAAATTTTAAAACACTTCTGAGAGAAAGGAAGGACCAAAATAAGTGAAAAGATAGAAATTCATGGTCAAAAGACTCAATAGCTATTATGAAGACATCCACTGTTCCTACACTCACTTACAGACTCAATGTAATCCCAATCATAACCCCACCAGGTTTTTTGCTTTTTAATGAAAATTGATAAGCTCATTCTAAAATATATAGGAAAATGCAAATCATCTAGAATAGTCAGAGCAATATTTTAAAAAAACAGAGTTGGAGGACTTACACTATCTGCTTCAAAACTTAGCATAAAGCATAGATAGTATGAAATTGATAAACAGGTTGATGAAACAAAAAGAGACCCAGAAATAGACCCACATTTACACAGTCACTTGATTTTCAACAGTCACCAGAGCAATGGGTAAAAAAAGAAAAGTTGTGTTGTTTTTTTAACATGGTGCCAAAATCAGTAAATGTTCATAATGGAAAAAGAAAATGAACTTTGACCCTTATTTTGAATCATACATGAAATGTAACCTCAGATGTATCACAGACCTAAATGTAAAAGGTGATACTGGGTGCCTGGGTGGCTCAGTCGGTTAAGCGACTGCCTTCGGCTCAGGTCACGATCCCAGAGTCCTGGGATCGAGTCCCGCATCGGGATCCCTGCTCTGCGGGGAGCCTGCTTCTCCCTCTCCCACTCCCCCTGCTTGTGTTCCCTCTCTCGCTGTCTCTCTCTGTCAAATAAATAAATAAAATCTTTAAAAAAAAAAAAAGCTGATACCATCAAGCTTTTGGAAGAAAACACTGAAAAATATATTTATGATTTGAGGTAGGCAAAAGTTTCTTAGACAGGACAGGGAAAGCAATAACTATAAAAGAGAAATATTGATAAAGTAGACACTGTCAAAATTCAAAACCTCTGCTCATCAAAAGACACCAATAAGAAAATAAAGAAGTAAACAACAACCTGGGACAAATTATTTGTGAAACATATACTGACAAAAAACTAGTACCCAGAATACATTAAAAAAAAAATGCCCACATCCTTAATTAATAAAAATGTACACAACTCAATCAGAAAATGGCTAAGTGATATGAACAGAGTTCACAAAAGAAGGTATGCTAATGGCCAATAAGCCATGAGAAAGTGCTCAGTGTCACCAGAGAAATGCAAATTAAAGCCACAAAGAGATACTACCACACACACACGACACTGGCTAAAATTAAAAAGACTAACATCAAATAATGGTGAAGATGTGAAGTAACCAGAACTCATATATTGTTGGTGAAAGTGTAAAATGGTACAACCATATTGGAGTAAAGTCTAGAAGTTTCTAAGAAAACTAAAATATTCACCTACCTTATGACCCAGCAAATCCTCTCCTAAGTATTTTTCCAAGAAAAATGAAAGCAAATGTCAACAACAGCAAAAACTGTACAAGAATGTTCACAGCAGCTTTACTCATAAAAGGCAAAAATTGGAAATGTATAAAGGTACTTCAATAAGGAGAATAAATTGTGGTATATTCACAAAATGAAATATTAGCCAATAAAAAAAAAAACAAGCTATTTATACTTGTTACAACATGGATAAAAATCTCTAAACTTTATGCTGAAAGAAGTCTTACACAAGAGTACAACTGTATGTATCATAGGAAGTGCTAGAAGAGGCAAACTATTCTTTGGCAGAACAAATTAAAACATGCAGTTAGCTCCAGGAGGCTGGGGCAGGGATTGTCTAAAATGGGGCATAAGAGAAGGTTTTAGGATGATGGTAAGGGTTTTTTTCGTTTTGTTTTGTTATTTTTAATCTTGAGAGGGGTTTGGGTTAGACTGATATAGGTATTTATTTGCCAAAACTCAGCTAATATACACTTAAAATTTAATTGTATGTGAATTTTACCTCAGAAGAAAAAATACTGTTAAGAATTATAGAATTCCAGTTAATGACATGTATACTGAAGTACTAGCTGAAAGTATACTGATGTCTGCAATTTTCTTTGAAATGCATAAAATAAGATGGACTGATGAACAAACAGATGGATAGATAAGTAGAAAACAAGCATAGTAAAATGTTAATATTAAAATCTAGGTGTGGGTACATAGGAATTCATTGTAAACTTTTTTCTTCTATTTTTCTATATGTTTAAATTTTTCTATGACAAAATTCTAGGGGAAAAACAGGTACCACTGTTTTGATGTTGACAGAGTATTATTTTTTACTTCTTTTTTTTCTATTTCCCAAGTTCTCTATGATGTGCTATAGTCTATAATTTTAAACACTTTTAAAAGAAAGGAGGGGTGCTTGGGTGGCTCAGTCGTTAAGCGTCTGCCTTCGGCCCAGGTCTTGTTCCCACGGTCCTGGGACGGAGCCCCGCATCGGGCTCCCTGCTCCGCGGGAAGCCTGCTTCTCCCTCTGCCTCTCTCTCTCTCTCTCTCTCTGTCTCTCATGAATAAATAAATAAAACTAAAAGAAAGGAAAGGAAACAAGGCATGCCTGGGTGGCTCAGTCAGTTAAGCTTCTGACTCTTGGTTTTGGCTCAGGTCAAGATCTCAGGGTCGTGAAATCGAGCCCCACGTCGGGCTCCGCACCGGGTGTGGAACCTGCTTAAGATTCTCTCTCTCCCTTTCCCCCTGCCCCTACCACCCCCCCATCTCCCGTACTCTCTCTCAAATAAATAAATGAAAGGAAACAAATTACATTTATTAAAATAATCAAATAGAAACTTTTTCAAAACAAGCTAAAAATCTCTAGATTCAGTGAAAGTTAAAATATTCACTATTTTTAAACCCACTGTCATTTAACTCACTAAAAGTCTTAAAATATTTAGTGATGTAGCAAGACACTGTTTTTTAACTAATTAAAAATTTTTAACTAATTAAATGTGGTATTAAAATTATTTTTCTTTTAATGCCTTACATTAAACTTTTCCTTGTACTCAAAAAACCTCCCCCATATCATTCTGTGTAATGTATGCTCATTAAAAGTACATCATTTCTTAGACTCTAATAACTTAGCAGGGTAATATTTCTTAAGAAATCTGAGAGTTGGCTGTTTACTTTCAAAAGGGCTTTATCTTTAGATAAGCACAAGCTTTAGGCCAGGTGCTAGTCATTTGTGTCTCGTTAATTTCCAAAGCAAACAGAGGAGAGTGCCATGCAATTTCCATTACACACACTTCACCATTAGTACCAGGGTTTATGAGCTTGACACTGCTCCAGGAATAATGGTTTCATTCCTCATTGAAATAAAATGATGTGCCACATAACTCAGCAATGCGGAACTTCTGAAAAATGTTGTCATGTTAAACATGGTCATATTTTTTAAGTCTCCATTGTGCCAAAACAAAGGCCATTTGCTGTAGGGAACTCACTCTGGCCACGGAGCATTCTCACGTGGGCCTCAGACTTACCTCATTGCTATGTCATACGATTCCGGGTGAATACAAGTTTGGTCCAAAGGATTTGGCTTCAGCACAACATTCACTGCAGTTTTGCTCTTCTTCTTGCCCTGCTTCTCATTTGTGACCTCAACACCTGCTGAAGATGTCACAGCAACTCCCTGAACTTGACCGGCAGATTCAGTTTGCTGACTACTGTAACCATTTAAAAAGGCAAGGAGTGGGAGGGGAGGGAAGGTTGGGAAGAAAAGAAGTCTTTAAAATGTGTTTATTTCTCTGCCATGCAAATACACACAAACAGCACCCACATTCTGACCATTCGCCTCATAGAAATTATCACGTATTTATTTAAACACTATTAATAGAGTTTCCTGTTACTTAAAGCCAAAAACAATCTTAACTGATTCAGCCTGTATAATTGGCATTTTACAAGAGAAGACAGAAAAACGAGGGTAAGTAAATTAAATAAAAAGGAGAAGGAGAAAGAGAAGACGAATTCCCAGAACTGAAGAGAATTACAAGTTCTTAAATTAAAAGAACCTACTGAGTACAAAATAGGATGAATGGAAAAAGACTCAGGTTTGACATATTATAGGGCAACTTTAGAATATGATTTAAGAATCAAGAGAGAAATATAAAACAGATTACCTCAGAAGGAACTAGAATCAGACTGGCATCAGATTTCTCATTGATAAACATCAGATGCCAGAACACAGTGAACCATTATCTTAAAAGTTCTGAGAGAAAATGATTTTGAATCTAGAATCATATATCTCACCAAACTAGCATTCAAATAGGAGGGCAAATTAAAATCATTTTCAGACATGTCAGGACTAAAGTATAACCCATATAATATACCCTCTATGAAAAGAATTTCTTAAGGATATACTCCTGACAAAAACAACAAGTTCAAGAAAAGTGGTAATGGAGGCTACAAGAAACAGTGATGAGCACAGAGACTATAAAAACTTATTAACTGCTCATGAATTATGGGAATATATATAAAGGGAAGTCTGAAACTAAAATTAAAATCCCAGGTCATCTCCTCATGGGACGTACAGTTGAAGAGAAGAAGGCTGGGTAAAGTCCTAAGGTGCTAGTCTTCTCCAGGAGGAGGACAGAGACACCTATTAACTGCAGAAGCCAGTCCAAATGACACTTAAGGATAATCACCAGAAAAAAAGACATACAAGTTGAAATCACTAAGGGGAGATAAAAATGAGGTGGGAAAACTTGTTAGCTGAGAAATGTAACGAACAGCATGAAAGGAAATCAGAAAGCATGATGATGAGAAAATATGTAATAGATATAAGATTAAGTCCAAACATATCAATACATCTAGTAAATGTGAAGGTATGAATATAAAATTGAACAAAACCATGAAATCTACTGGTCTCTAAGAGTCGTTTCAAAAACTAAATGTCATAGAAAGTTTGAAAATAAAAAAATACCAAGCATACTGAAAAGGCAAATGTAGCAACACTGCTAACAAATAAAATAGATTTCAAAGCAAAAAACACTCAATGAGATAGCAGTAGTCCATTCTGAATAAAGGTATGATCTATCAAGATGTAACAGTCATGAATTTTCAAGCACTTCATTATCAGCTGAAAAAGCATACAGCTTTAAAAACAACCCAAATGTTCATCAATACAGCACTGATTACATTAGGTTATGGTCCACCCATAAATTAAATATTATGCAGACATTATATATAATGACATACATCTATATGTAATATGTGGAAAGAAGTCCAAGATATATTACTGAAACAAATAAAGCAAGTTTCAAATAGTTGGACAGCACAATCCCTTCTATCTGCATTTTTAAATAATAAATATACAAGTTGATCTAAGTATAAATTTACTTTCAGAAAGCAATATGTAAGAAACTATTTTGAAGTGAGAGGTTGAGGTGCCCTTTATTTTTCATTGTATTCTTTTTTATACTGTGTGAATTTTCTAACCAAGTGTTCCAAAAACATATAAACTAAGAAACATGGGATTATTTTATCCTCAATTGTTCTTTATTTCCAGCTTCTAGGTTTTGTTGTCTACTTACAAAAGGCCTTCTACCGCTCCGATGTTCTGCAAAACCTACCCATGTTTTCTTCTGGTACTTTTACAGTTTCACTTCTATTTAAGTCTATGATCCATCTGGGTCGTATTTGGGTATAAGATATAAGGTGGACCTAGAGCTTCCCCTATGCATATCAAATTCCTGCCAGTTGTCGCAAGACTGCTTCTTGGACAGTTAATCAATTTTCCCCACTGTTTGAAACTTCTCCTTTATCATAAACTAAATTCTGCCTATGTTTTGGTGAATTTCAGACTCTATTCTCTTCCATTTCTACATTAAAACTAAATGGTTATGTAACTATAATTTTATATTATTATTATTATTATCCAGCAGGGCTGGTTTTCCCTTATTAGTCTTTTACAGAATAAAGATTATTTTTCCATATTACCTCTATTATAATTTTGTCAAAAGAAAAAAATAATATGAATGAAACAGGTAGTCCCAAAGTAGCAAATACATAAAAACTATTCTTTCGGGATGCCTGGGTGGCTCAGGTTAAGCAGCCAACTCTTGAATTTGGCTCAGGTCATGATCGTGGGGTCCTGGGATTGAGCTCCGCATCAGGCTCTGCACTCAGTGGGGTGTATGCTTGAGATTCTCTCTCTCCCCCTCTCCCTCTGCCCTTCCCCCCACTCACACTCTCTCTAAAATAAGTAAATAAATCTTAAGAAAAAAAACCACTAGGGGCGCCTGGGTGGCTCAGTTGGTTAAGCGACTGTCTTTGGCTCAGGTCATGATCCTAGAGTTCCGGGATCGAGTCCCGCATCGGGCTCCCTGCTCGGCGGGGAGTCTGCTTCTCCCTCTGACCCTCCCCCCTCTCATGTGCTCGCTCTCTCTCATTCTCTCTCTCTCAAATAAATAAATAAAATCTTTAAAAAAAAAAAAAAAAACCACTATTCTTTCATGATGTTAAATGCTATAAATGCTAGGAAGTTTACCCAATTTCTTTGCTTTTGTGCTACCAGGATTAGCAATTAAGGGCAAGAATTTAGTTCTTAATCTACACAACTGATAATTATTCTTTGGTCAGTTTTCAGGGAGGAGGGAATGGGGAGGCCCAACTACACTTAGGGAAACAGCTGTTAATATAAAGTGGCCATTGTAAAGTCCTCTGTGTCACCTTATCTTGTACAAATCCTTCCCACTTGGGATGCTACAATCACACTGGCCTTAGTTTCATTTCCTGAATACACCGCATTTGGTCATGCTTGGGACCCCGCACATGTACTATATGCTCTGCCTAGAATGCTTTCCTTCCAATCCCTGTGTGCCTAGCTCCTTCATTTCATTCAAAATTAGGCTCAAATAACTTTTCAGTGAATAACTCATATAAAGCGTAATAAACTCATACTGTTCCCCAAGACAAGTGTCACATCTCTGTTTTAATTTGTGTAATTTACACATCTGAAACTATTTATTTTACTAGTTAAAATTTAACTTCATGAGAGCAGGGAATTTGTTGATTTGTTCACTGCTGGATTCCCAGTGCCTAGCAAAGATTAGGGAATCAACACATGTTGAAGGAAGGAATGAATATATGGACACCTAGGATTGGGGCCAGTGAGCAGGAGGGGCAATAGTAAAAGAGGAGAGTGGTAACAGAACCCTGAGCAGATACTTTACTAATCACCTGCAAAATGTTCGGATATAATCCTGGTTGATTCTGATGAAGCCAGCACACTGTTGGAAAGATTTTGGACCCAGACCTTTCACTTTCTTTAGCTGCTCTCGATTGACGAAGGGCCCATTTTTCTCTCGCCACTCAATAATACTTTTGGCTCGGTTGGCATTGAGTCCTGCAATATGCCTAGAAAAAATAAACAAAACAAGTAATGTGGCAGACACAAGAGTTCTAATAGTATTCCAAAAGGGAGCTAAATAAAAGAGACAAAGGGGGACGGAGTTGTCCAAGAGGAGACAAGGACAAGAGAATGCAGAATAATGATAAAACCAGTAGCTGTCATAAAGATGCTGGTAAACTGGTTCACACTGGTACAAGAAAAAGAGCTGCTTCCCACAGTTCTATACTATTCACATTCCTTGTATTTATGAAGCAAGTAATAATTCTGCCTATTCCTGTTTAGTTTACAAAGTGAGTTAGCAGCAAAAGTTACAATAGCTACAGTTGCATTGTACTAACCTATTTTTTTTAATCAGCCTGTTCTCATTAATGTAAAGACTTGAACTACAGAATGTACTTATCCATGAATGTCATGATTAGTATAAAAATATAAAAACTGTAATACTAGGTAGTTTGCTTGGTGTTAATTAAAAAATTACAATTTAAGAGATTTTTAATTCTATTATTGAATTCCATACATGAAATTATGGAATGTTTGTAGCTGTGGTAGAAAAGCAACACCTTAGCACGTAAGGGATATTTTCTGCTATACTAGTCTCAAAGCAAAAGAGTCCAGATCTTTTACAGAGGTCCAGAATTTCATGCTGCATCAGCAGATTTGTGTAATCAGTGCAAAACTGTGAACGAAAAAAGCAGCTCTTCTATAACCACAGTAAAACAGGACAGAGTATATAAGATGTGATTATAGTATGATAAGGATTTTGATATGTGACTTGCAGAATCAAGGTAAAAATATGGTAACCATACCTTGAACCCTCAGAATTTATCTTTCGGTTACTGCCACCTTTGACAGATGTATGCACAAGACTGAACTGGTGAAAAATACCTACTCTCATGTGGTGGGAAACAGCTCTTTTCCACATTAACCTTATTTAAATTCTATTAGCAACACTAATGCACTCAATGGTTACCATATGTTCTTCACTTTAGATTTGCAGTATTAAAAATGATAATGTGAATTGTTACAATTCTTTTCTTAAATGATGTCTTCCCCTCAAACTGATTAGCTCAAGCAATGTATGAACTCATAGATTTTCTATACTTGACAACTTTACACGTCTCCTTATTTTAGCTAAATTTGAACTGAATAGTCAGTTAAACTTAAGATTCTGTGATCTTCAGCCACAGACCTCTTGTCTCACCTTAACAAAACTTCTGAACAGATGTTAATATCCACTCCCACAAAGCTGACACATTCTTCTACAACACTGTCCAGTGTTGCCTTGAGTAAAGTCTGAGATACATCGTGCTAAAAAGACAAAGATCAAATGTCAACCCAAAGTGAAGGACATGCAGTTTTTGGACTATTTCATTACATACCTATATTACTGGTAGCTGGCTGAGACACAGCATAGTAAATTTTTTCATTTTTCTGAAACATATGGTTAGTATGTAATTGAGCTGAACTTAAGGAATCTGTTTTCTTACTCTCTAAATCACTCATACACCTAACTTCAATATAACAGCACCGGTAATTTTTGCTTTCCCAGAATTCTACCAGAGCAGTGGTTCTCAACCTTAGTTTGCCCTCAAAATCACCTGAACAGCTTGTTAAAACACAGGCTGCCAGGCCCCCTATCCAGAGTTTCTGACTCAGTAGGTTTAGGTGGGGGGCCTGAGAATTTGCATTCTAAGAAGCTCTCGGGTGATGCTGTTGCTGCTGGTCCCAGGAGCACACTTTGAGACATACTAGTCTCCATCATTCACACAGTACCTGGCAGTGTTATCTTCACTTACATGTGTATATTATCCCTTAGTTCTTCTTAAGAGAAGAGAGAGTAAATTATAGTAGGATAGTGTATACACTAATATACAATAAGTCTGACAGCAAATCAAAGTCTCATGTTTCATCACATTAAAGATACTATTGCTGGGCGCCTGGGTGGCTCAGTTGGTTAAGCGACTGCCTTCGGCTCAGGTCATGATCCTGGAGTCCCGGGATCGAGTCCCGCATCGGGCTCCCTGCTCGGCAGGGAGTCTGCTTCTCCCTCTGACCCTCTTCCCTCTCGTGCTCTCTGTCTCCCATTGTCTCTCAAATAAATAAATAAAAATCTTAAAAAAAAAAAAAAGATACTATTGCTTATAAGATGCACTGTTATTTTATTTACCACTAAGAAAGAAAATACACTGCCTATTAAATCATGACACAATGCTTTATGACTTGAAAGTTTTATTTTTTGAATTGAAAGAATTCTTTTAGACTTATTTAGAAAGTTCTTAAATCGTCTATCATGCATAGATAAAAAGGAAAATATAAGCAATCTAAACTGGTTAAGGTATTCCTAAAATTTCTTCACATTCAGCATTCAAATCTTCTGGTCTAAGTTTTTTACTCAGAGTCTTAGATGTCCAAGTTTTTCCATTTAGTATTGTCTTTTACTCTCTTAAGATCCTAGGTAATGTAGCATTTCCTGAAAGAGTAATATTCTCTAGTCTCTGAGATTTTCTTTAAAGCTTCCGATGCTCATTCTGTAAGCTTTGATAGTGGTTCTATCTTAATCTTAATGGAAAGTATCAACAGAAGAGACTCTGGACAACAACAAAACTATTCTTTCCTTAAAGGTCCTTACATGTTTTACTGTTCAACAGTTTGCTGACTGAAATAGTGAAGGGTTTGCTGTTCAGTCATAACTCCAAGATTAACAATCGAGGACACACAGAAACTACACCATGATTTGCCATGAGGCCAACAGCAACTGTAAGACACGATTAATTGTTCAGAAGCATCCTGATTTCAGAAATGTGAAAATGTAAGAAAATGTGCAGCTTAGAATTTATAAAAGACAGTATTTGAAAGTAAATATTTGTTGGCTAACTGATGAGTACCTCATAATATACTTGATGTTATTCTTAATTCTAAAATTAAAGATCCTCTAGTTGTTCCCACATGTGAAACTGTGGGTCAGCATCCTTCTCCATGTGTTTCAAGAAAACAAGGTTAATTTTGATAACCTTAAACTCCCAGGAAGACCATACAGTTAATAGAGTCCCTAGGTAATGTGACTATGTTATTATCTTTTAATAAGAGTAGAAGTTTTGTTCTGAAAGACTGAAGGGTGCAGGAGTACTTTTGTATTTCAGAGATAACCTCGTTGGTTATCTAGGCCACAGCTAAAAACCACAGACATAATTTTAAAAATCCTAATAAGCAAACATAATCATGAAAAGGATCATAAAGAAAAACCTAAAACCTTGCTGAGAACCTGATTACTTTTTCTTAAAAAGATTTTATTATTGCGGGGCGGGGAGAGAAACCCAAGCAGACTCCACACTGAGCATGGAGCCTGACATGGGGTCTGATCTCACAACCCTGAGATGAGACCTGATCCAAAACCAAGAGTCGGTCGCTCAACCAACTGTGCCACCCAGGTGCCCCGAGAGCCTGATTTCTTTTGAGCCACAACATTTAAGAAGCTGGATAGTCTTTTCTTGGTCTAAGTAGATGAGAAGCAGCAAAATGAAAGGGGGCTTTTAAAAATGAGAGGGTAGGAGATGATGGACAACATAGTGGCAAGCACAATGATATCAACAAGAAAAATATCTGAGAAAGAGACAAAACTATGAACAAATAGGAAAAACTAAAAGTAATAGTTGGGAGCCATTAGAATAAAGGCAAACAACTCCACATATGTCAAATCACACCAGACGCTTGGGATAGCTAAGTAAGTAGTAAGCAGTCCCTGCAGCTGGACAGTCTTGGTTGCCTATCCTACCTCTAACCTCCAACCCTCTTTTCCTCCTTCCAAACAGAAGCCCGGCTGTGTTGCATGCATCTACTCTACCTCTAGAAGGCCATATGATTTGGAGAGGCTGGCCCCCACTCCAGCAGATGATAACAGTAAAATCAGTGGTTTTCAAACTGAGGGTTCTGACCAATTAGAGGGTCATAAAGTTAATTTGGTGGCTTGCCACCAGCATAAAAAAGTCAAGAAAGAAAAAGACCATATCAAGTGTGTTGCACATTTTCTCAACATGGAATGAACAGTGCAATAAATAATGCAGCCAATTGAGAATATCATGTGAGAGGAATATATAAATTGGCCAGGAACATGTGTTTTGTTCATGGAAATCTCATTGGATCTTCTGATAAATGATGGTCATGATTGATGGAGAGGTTAAAGAGTAACTCTACAGATTTATGAAGCAAAGTATCAAAAAAAAGCATGAGAAGTTTATCATTGATGGCAAAGCTCTGATTCTTACAACCAAGTTTAGTTACAAACTTTCAGTGTCTTTTTCAGAAAGGATGTTACTGATTATAACACTTTTCAAATTATAAGCAGTTGTAATATTTTAACTGAGTTAGCACAAGTTGACCTTAAGAATCATTATAAACTTCAGGGCGCCTGGGTGGCTCAGTCGGTTGAGTGTCTGACTCTTGATTTTGACTCAGGTCATGACCTCAGGATCAAGAGATCAAGCCCCACATGAGGCTCCGTGCTTAGCGAGGAGTCTGCTTTAGATTCTCTCTCTCCCTTTGTCCCTTCCACCCTGCACTCTCTCTCTCTCAAATAAATAAATAAATAAATCTTTTAAAAAAAAGAATCATTGTAAACTTTGAAGCAAAAGAAAGAATAATGAAGCAAGCTCATTACCAGATTTGGAAGTGTTAACAGTGACAAAAAGGACAGAAAGTACTAACTCTATTCAATCTGACTTGAGGCACATTTTAAATAGAAAAAAATAACTGTGAGACTTTAAAATAAACTTAATTTAAAAACGATTTACAAATACACAATACAATAAAAATATATGACCTCAGATATACCACTGATAGTAATGTTCTTGTAAATGACAGTATAAAACCTGCAAAATTAAAAACCAAACAAAAACACTTGGAACATCCTCCCAAAATGGCTAAAATGCAAAAGATGGAAAATACCAAGTATTGGTAAGGATGTGCAGCAACTGGAATGCTCAAAATATCAGCATGATAAATGTATTTTAGGTCAGATATGCAAGGAAAGGGAAGGCAGTTTTAGGACATATTTATTTTGTGTAGTTTAAATGTAACATCACATAAAACTCATCATATGTATTTATACAATGTAAAAATGCATTCTTGTTCAATATAAACTGCAAAGGAGTAAAAAATGGACAAATTCCTAGAAACAGAGTAATTGCCAAAACTGGGCTCAAGAAGAAATAAAATCTGAACAGACTTACAACAAGAGATTCAATCAGTAACCAAAAATCTCCCAACAAAGAGTCTAGGACCAGAGAGCTTGATGAATTCTACCAAGCATTTAAAAAGAATTAACACTAATCCTTCTCAAACTCTTTCAGAAAATAGAAGAGAAGGGAACCCTTCCGATCTAGTTCTTTGAGGCCAACATTACCCTGAAGTAAAAGCCAAACAAAGATAACATCAGGAAAGAAAATTATAGACAAATACTCCTTGTGAAGATAGGTACAAATATCCTCAACAAAATACTAGCAAACAAAAATCCAACAGTATATTAGAAGAATATGATGCATTCAGTACATGTGAACTCAAGAACCGCATACGTATTTTTTTTTTCAGGTAAAAAACACCTTCTTTTGGAATTTTTAAACTTAAAATTTTGAAGTAATCTCAAATTCAGAAAAAAGCTTGCAAGGAATTTTCTTAGCTTTCCTTCAAATAAATACTTCAGTGTATATTTCCAAATAACAAAGACATTGTCTTACATACCACTGTAGAATAATCAAAACTTTTGTAGAAAAGTTATCAATGTAATATTATCTAATGTGGAGCCCATACTCAAATTTCATCAATTGTCCCAATTCTACTTTACAGCATTTTTCCTCCCCATCGAAAATTCAACCCAGGATCACACACTACATTTTAGTTGTCTTATCTTTCTATATTCTGTGCTGGCCAGCTTCCAGGATGGTTCCCAATGATCCCAACCCCTGGTATGCCGGCACTGTATATCCCATCTCCTTGAGAATAAAATTTACTCAGGAGTCTTGTCTGTATGAATTATTACTAAGATTATTTTACCACTCACAGTGACCTATTAATGTAAAAAAGTATTTTCAATTTTGACTCAATCAGAATTTAAAAGAATAGGCTCAATAGTGTATCATATATGTTCATAGTCTTCATGTATTCTAGACTGGAACAAATTCATGAACCTTGTAACTATACATTGAATTAAATCTAATTTTTTTTTTTGTATTTGAGGGTTAAAAAACATTTAATTATAAATAAAATCATATTTAACTTTATCATGTATATGGGTATTATTTTGAGAAGCTTTTATT